AAATCTGGTAAGATGCATACAGAAATTACACAATTAAAAATATGAAACTGTAATTTATGAAATAAAGAGCAATTATGATCTAAAGGGTATCAAAATTTACAAAAAAAAAAGCTTAATATTTATTTGTTTACTGTGTTAAACATTTCTTTCAATGTAAGTTGGTTTGTTTTTTGTGCCAATACTTTCTTTTTAATTCTATAAACAGACATAATTTCTTGTTCAGTTACAAAGTTCCACTGCTCAAGTCCTGTAATTGTTGTGTTGCGAATACCGACTAACTTATCAATCGAAATTTTTTTGTTTTCAATAACCTCTCTGTCACTTTCTTCACTATCAGCGAATTCCTACATTTTCATATTACATCAATAAAAGTAAACCAAATAAATAAAAACATCTGCCGTGAAGATAAGGATAGTGCTGACAGATCAACTTCCAATCGCGGCGTGAAATTGATAAACAGATTTGGATTTCAAAAACTTTCTTTGTAGATACAAATTACATATTAGTAAATATATATCGAAATTCTATTTGACATAATCTTTCTAATCTATCATAATCTAATAATTACGTTTCTGCCCCCCTCTGCCGCAGAGCAGCGTGAAATTGATAAACAGATTTCGGATTTCAAAACATACTTTCGCTTTGTAGTAAATATATATCGGAAATTCTATTTGACATAATCGAAAGTTCAAGCTTACTTTTATAAAATTGCTCTAACAGTCTGCAAAAAATAATAAGCCGGATCCTATTCGAAGATTAAGGAACAACGCAATCTGCAACATTAACTGAATTAGATAACTTTAGCTTAGCGTATAACTCCGTTACACATTAAACGCGCATGCGCACAAACATATTCGCAGCCGTAAGGGTCTTACGCGCTCTCGTAAACGCCTGTGCGCATGCGTGAACGCGATGCATGCGCAGAAAGTTTGTAGCTTTGAGGTCCGGATTATAGATCATTCCGGATTATGGGTGTCCGAATTAACGACTTTTGACTGTACAATAATCAAGGACCTACTTAAAGAATACATTAAACTGTTCAAAAAATTAATCACATTTTATATAATTCTATGCATATTTCATATATTAAGCACATTTCACATTTTTAAAAATGTAGCATCACGTTTTCCAAGACAATGGCCAATACATCCAACCTTATGAAAATGAATCATCTAAAATAAGAGCAGGTAGTTTTATTATCTTAAATTGGTAAACACGTGATTAGGAAAGTGACAGCCAGTGTCGCAAATGGAGGACGTCCATTAATGCCACAAAATCTAAATTATTACTGATAGGAAGGCATAAAAGATAAAACACTGATGCAGACCTGACCCTCTTTAATGAAACGGTGCCCAAAGTCAGAGAGGCTACATACTTGGGAGTTCGTTTTAACCGCTCGCTTACATGGGGTCCCCACATTTCCATGACCATCGGGAAAGCCATAGGAGTCTCTAGAAAGCTCCGAAACGTTCTTGACTCCTCTTCACCACTGGATCTTGCTCGCAAGAAGCACATTTACACATCAATATTAAGACCCATCCTTACATATGCCTCCCCTGCATGGTGCTCTGTTCCCCCTTCCGTATTAAATAAATTGCAGGTTTTTCAAAACAACTACTTACGAAAAATCACAGGAGCACCCTGGTTCGTTCGCAATGAACAGCTACACAGAGACCTTAAACTCCAAAATCTGGCGTTATTCATCAATAAATTAAATTAAATATAATTTTTCAAGAAAGCATCACCAACGCGGGAGGTAAATTATTCTGACAATTTTAAGTACGAGCTCCTAGAAATTGACATCAATTTAAGGCCCTATCAACCCACATTTATCGGAATCCTCCATAAATACTCCTAACTTCTGCCTGCCAATTTTTGAAGTTTCAAAGTATGACTTCTTCATTTACACTGGCCTGGGCCACATCTACACAATCTTCCTGCAGTCCCTTATCAAGGTATTCCTGCGAAGCACTGTATGTTATGTCTCCTCTAACCGGGGTTATTTGAGGTGCCTGTAATAGCGGGATATAATTCCTGCTGAAACAGGCATATCAAAAGTATCAAAGTATCAAAGTAACACTCCGCAAGGAAGAAATAGCATAACTCCGCAATGAACAAGAAAAAATAGCATAACTCCGAATAGACAAAATTTCCAGAAATGAATGTTATCAAAAACTGAATATTGATGTATAAGACGCATCCCGTTTCTGCAAAGGAAAATAGTGCGTTTTATACGCTGGCAAATACGGTAACAAGAGTTTTAATTGAATGAGAAGGTTTCTAGTAAACTACTCAGCTAGTAGATGGCAGCACATGCCTTTTACATGAGTGCGTGGATGCAAGCCAAGTGCTGAGTCATGCGAAATTTACCGTGCTAGAGGATGATCATGTATGAGTTTTCGAGGGATTGAACGGGCGAGGTCGCTCAGATTTCTGTTCATTGATCTGTAAATCATAGAGTAAAAATCAGTTCGTAAAATATTGCTGTCAAAATGAAGAACAGCATAGGAAAGTTTTTCATTACTGTCGGGTTAATATCTTTAATACATTCTGCATATTCTGCTGCTCAGCGTAAGTTTGCATACTATTGTTTCCATATGTATCTGTATTTTTTCCATTATTATATATGAAATTTTTTATTTCATGAAATTTTAAATTATTTATTTTCTGGATAAGTTATTTCAACTTTAATTTTATGGTTGATGAGTGATACAAAAAATTTGGAGAGGTTAAATTTTAGCAGGTAAAATATTATGAAGCTATTCAGACAGTAATTCTGCTTGACCTTTTAAAAAAAGTACTGTTTGGGGTATTTTGAATAGTTAATAGAATATTAAAGCTACTGTTAAAAAAAGTATTTTATTTTTTGTTTTGTTTAATATTATGCTAGTCTAAGAAAACATGAATATTGGATTAATTTTAATGATTGCATTTTTTGAACCGTATCTTCTTTCGTTAAGTCCCGCACAGAACCCGTTGTCAACAGTGCCTTTTTTTTTGGTTCCAAGCTTGCCAAGGGTAATGGTTTTAGCGATGTATGGTCAAGATTTAAAATAAATCATGATGATATTGAAGATTTTGAACATTATATTTAATTTATTTCGTGATATTAAGCATATGTAAGTTAAATTTAGCAAAAAAATTCACTGATTGAACATATTAAGCACGAGTTAAGTCAAGATATTTCAAAGTGAAGAAAAGCAAATTAAATTATAACGAGTAAATTTTGTACCAGTGTTAGAAATAGTTTGATTAAATTTTGTACCAGTGTTAGAAATAGTTTGATTAAATTTTGTAAATGGTAAAAATATTACGAAGTGTGTGTTTTTTAATCACTCAATTTATTACAAGTAATTTATGATTATAATTTAAAAGCTAAAATTAAATTATCATAATGAGTAAATTTTGTACCAATGGTAATCATACACAACAACAATCATCATAACTGATGATTTCTGTGAAAGATTCAAACAGTCATTGGAATCCACTAGTGGTGGAGTGATAAGCCACTGAACAGTGGTAGTTCAGGCTGGCTATATAGGAGTTTTTGTGGTTTTTCTTACATGCAATGTGAATTTGAGCCAGTTTCTCTTAAAATGTCCTGTATGAAGGCACCCTTCTGCTAGCCAGCATATATATTTATTTTCTATTCATAAATACTGGTCTCTCATCTTATTTCTTAATTCTAAATCTTACTTCTGAAGTGAAGAAGTGTTGCATCTATAGGTCGAAAAATATGGTCAATGTGTTTGAAAAATCCTGTTCAGTTTCGGACAGCATTTAAATAAAATGGTTAATCTTTGGATAATGGTAACTTGGCGAAAATTTGGCGACCAACCCTGCTACAGCAACTTGCTAGTTTTGTTTTGGACGCCATTTTGTTTTCACGAAGTTAAGGCATGTTTTTTTAATCAACATTTTTTCCAACAATCTGCTAGCGAAATTACACTTATACTAGAACTTTTATGAAAAAAAAGCTGCTTAATCATGACGAAAATTAGGTGCGAAATTGGGAGACAGTGCAGAATCGCCCACTACTTGCCGCGTTTTTAAGAATTGCACATACACAGTATCCGTGAACACGTGGACCTATTTTCACTTATAAAAAAAATCCCAGAATTGCACAAAAATGACATTGCGCACACTCTTGACTTTATCCATGTACACTGCTAGAGTCCTAGCTAGTAACCTTTATCGCCTTACCAAAATGTCGCCAAACTACCTGTTACCATATTCCAAAGATTAGCCAATAAAATAATACAAAAATGCGTTACATTATTTCATGTAGTGAATAATTAATCAGGGAACAAAGTATAATGTAACGTTCTTTTATTTTGTAACCAGAGTTTTTTTATGTTTGGCATCTTTACTGTCAATTTCCCCATCCTTTTTCTCACCAAAATCTAAATGAAGTTTTTAGTTTGTAAAACAAACCTTTAGAGGCCTTGTGTTTTGCCTTTAGAGGCCTTGTTACTAGGTTGCTAGGTAAGATAAGATTTGTAGTCTTCAGTCCTGCATTATAATTGCTGATAGTTGAATTCCATGCCAGTTACGTTTTGAACCAACTTTGCATTAAATTGATTAGTGTAGCCTTTGTCTACAAATTATTTGAATTTAAATTTTACATAATTGTTATCATAAGTTATCTTGCCACAAGTGGTTGACTGAGTCGTTGATGCTACAACATAAAGTGCGCCTTCTGTTCATTACATTAAATTTTTTAATAGAATAAGAGTGTACCTGAACTTAAATATATCTAAACTTTATAATAATTACATTTAAAGACATTGAAATCAGTATCTAAGTGTTTGTCATGTAGTGATATTTTTATATATAAATTGTACTCTTGCTTTTTTTATAGAATTTGTATTACAAAAAATTCAGATTCAGGAAACGCCGTGGCGCGCAATGAATTGGAAGTTGATCTGTCAGCACTATCCTTATCTTCAGGGCGGATGTTTTTATTTTATTTGCCTTATAATTCCTTGCTAAATGTAGTTACTGTAAAAGGATGCAACTACGTTTAAATTTTTGGTGAATAGATCTTGCCTTTATGAGGACCACTTTTTTTTTCTTTTTTTAAATTTTATACTCGGAGAACTTCTGTTTGATTCTTTGTACTTGTGCACCAGTTGTTTTATTAACAAAATTTGTGAAGTGATTAACAGTCTGAGCAAATGATACCCATGCCTGCCTAAGAATGAATATTCTATCGTTCATCAGTCCTGAAAGTTTTTCCCTTTGCCACATGCTTCTTAATAAGTGGTATCAGAATCACCGCTGATCTGTTTTCTGTAAACATGTTTTTTTCATGAAGGCAATAATCTTTCCGAGATGCACCACTGCAGAGAACTTCCTTAATTGAATAAAAATAATTCCTTTTATTTATTATTAAAAAATTCAGAAATGATAGCTTGGAAATAAGACAAAATAATAGTGAATAAATGAAGAATAAATATACGTGTAAAGGCAAACATTGAGTGTGATGCTACAACATACAAAATTATGAACAGCAGTATACGGAACCTAAAATAATGTAAGAGGCATGCATGATTACTACTTCCGAACATGCAAAACCGGGTTTGAACTATTTTCGCCATTGTTGGTGGTGTTTACATTTACCTGATCCTTTGTGGAAGTACTTCCACAGCATAACTCTGTGTCATTTATGTTATGTCGATGTCAATTTTTGATAGTATTAGGGTTAATAGTACTTGTGAATTTGTGGGAAATAACTAGTCGGAAATACGCACCTGAAGACGATGCTTCTGTACTGGTGCTAACGTTATAATGGCATTGGGCGATACTAGGAAGTGGTGGTTCCCATAAACATAAAATATAAACGCTCACTGTGTGATACACAATACCGTAAAGAGTACATATGAAAACAACTATTTGAAATTGCATCGTACAAACAAAACAAAAGGGGGTGAGGACAGTGTTACCATTCGTGAAGACACGAAATTTTCTAGGGTAATATTAGTGTAATGAAAATAGTAATTCTTATAATTATTATAGTAGTAATAAATACTTAGTATAATAGTAATAAAAAATTCTTAATTGAATAATTGCTAGTATAAATGTTGAGAAATTGAGAGTCTAATTTTTTAAGCCTTGAGCAAAATTTTGGTAATCTTCTGTTATAAAGACCGGATTCAAAATGTATGTATGGTTATATGTTTTCATGTATGCATGTATATATATATATATATATGTATAAATGCATGTGTGTGTAGACATATATACACATGCATGCATACATACATTTCGGAATCCAATCCTAATAACAGAAAGTACTGGTTTTACAGCAGGTGCCAAGCAACAAGCTATCTAAATGCTGCATGTAAATGACTCGCTGCATATGTAATTTCTAGTCGTACTGCATTTTTACTTGGGAGCAATTTAGATAGATAAATTGCAGCTTCTGTGTAATACCTCGTGCTCTTATTCTATGACTATTATTTCTTAGAGTAAATTTAGTATCGTGAGTTATGCATGTCCAAATTTGTACTTAGGTGATATGGAAACACATGAAAGATATTTCCAGCATTAATGATCTCATAGCAGTATTCTGATATATGTGAAATAAATTTAAATTAATTTTCCTTTGTTTCTGAATCCTTATTCTGTAGCTGTGCTTAACTTCATTAAAGATTTAAGTTTGTATTCATATTTTAAAATTTAATTTTTCACCAGTTTTATGAGGAAGAAATATGCAGAGCAATTTAGATCTTTTTGGCAAAATTCGAAGAGGTGATAGAACACACCAAACAGTACTTTCTGTTTTACGATGCATAAGCATAACTCGAGTGTTAAAAACAATAGAGGACATTTTCCATTGAGTGTATTTAAGTACTTATTCTTAAACTTGTCATTTACCTGGTTGAAAGAAATAGTTATTTCTTGAATCAGGAGATGGACATGCATTTTATGTATGGAGTTGCAGATGGGAATATGAGGAAAGCTTAGGCTAGACTAGAAGTAGGAGTGCGAGTACACTATGTATTATAAAAAAATCCAGCATTGTGTTGGATATCCTGATAGAGCATTTGAAAAATTTCCCATGACTAATTAATGTTGTGGTGCATACTGCAAGGCACAGAGGATGCAGCCCTTGACACCTGCAGCTTATTTCTGTGGTTATTTTTTTCATCTTGACTTCTTCAGTGGATTGCAGGGCAGCCAGATTTTGCTGCACATGTCTAATTCATCGATGGCATTCTTGTGTGGCTAACTAGTAATTTGCATAGCATACATTTGCATTTGTTTTAGTGCACTTTTCTGAATAAATACTTGGGCTATAATCATCCATGATTATTTGATTAGCCTATATCTTTTGCAAGATTAGTTGCATGGGAAAATGTATTTAGTGTTTTTACATGAAATCTTGTTAGAATTTCTGAACCCTGATAGTTCCAGCAAATGTTAAAATATGTATGTGGAGCATCATCCCATTTTAAACATGGGGCATGCAAAATACTTTGGATGTAAGGAGACCGTAGATCATTTGAGGTAATATCTTTTCTTCGCCAGAATGATAGTCCAGTCTCTCATTTTGGGACTTTTTTCTTATCTTCACTGATTTCAACAGAGACCTTTTTGCCAGGATATTAATATCACTGCCACTATTCAAGAAATACCTGTTTTGGCCTCGCACACCAGTACATGTTTATCATTATATGAAAGTTGCATATTAAAATTTGAAAAGTGAAAAATTTGTTTTACTGGAATAGGGTTTTACCTGGGTGCCTGCTACAACTGGACGTTTAGTTCACTGAGGAGATGAAAAGTTGGGAAGCATTCGTTCATGTTGGTGGTTGCTTATTTGAGCAGCTTTTGCAATAAGTTTAATAAAATTTATTCTGTAATTCAATTTCTTCTATCATTCTTCTATGTGCTAAACCTTGCTGTATCACTGCATGAGTTATAACCATACATTATGTGATTTTTAGACATAGGTATATAAATATTATTTGTTTTAATTCAAGTGTATAATGGATAAAAAAAGTTTTTGATTTTAAAAGAACAGTCTCATTAAATTCTCCAAACATCATGAAATGGATCACTGAAAGATATTTTCTCCATTTTCTCTAGAAGTGTTCTCTTGTGAGTATATTGAACATCTTTGACTACTGTAACAGCTTAAGAAATTTAAGCAGAATTTTTGTGTATATTAGTTAATATTATTATTTCTGACCAGTTTCATATGGTGGAATTTATAAATGCTCACCAGAATAAATATGAACATTAAGCAACTGCTGTTTAATAGTTTGGGAGTATTGATAATTTATGTTGAATAAAATTTGCGGTTGATCTTTGGATTATGGTAACTTGGTGACTTTTTGGCGAAAATTTGGCGACCAACTCTGCTACAGCAACCCTCTATTTTTTTTCGCCGCCATTTTGTCTTCACGAAGTAAAGACATGTTTCTTTTCTTTTTATTTACTAAACACTTTTTCCAACAATCTACTAGCCGAATTACACTGATGCTAGAAATTTTATGTAACAAAACTGCTTAATCATGACAAATATTCACTGCAAAATTGGGAAAAAGTGCAGAATCGCAAATTCCTTGCGCGTTTTTCAGAATAGCACATACACATAAACCATTTACACGTCGACTTATTTTTACTTAAAAAAAACATCCCAGAATTGCACAAAAATGGCATTGCACACACTCTTAACTTTATCCATCTACACTGCTATTTTCTCATAAATTACAAAAATTTGCACGAAAACGCAGGAAAATTTTCTTAATCTTTAAACTCGATAAAAAGCACATATATGAAATTACCTGATTGCGAAAAAGTACATACCCTTTCCAAGGCTGAACATTTCCACATATAAAATAAATAAAATATCCAAAAGCTTTTACCTCTAAATTATCTATTATGTTATAAACGTCACTAACGAATTTATACGCAAACATTAAAAATAGTTACAAATACTTAGTGTCAAATATTTAAATATTTCCATACACGTTTACTTCAACTGAAACGTATACCAAATTCCTACAAACATAAAATTCACAAAATAACTATCATTTAATTAAAATATCACTAAACCATGTACACGTCGACTTATTTTTACTTAAAAAAAATCCCAGAATTGCACAAAAATGGCATTGCGCACACTCTTCACTATATCCATGTACACTGCTTTTTTCTCATAAATTAGAAAAATTTCACGAAAATGCATCAAAATACTCAACGTATACTACTCAAATGTATTCCAAAATACTACAAATATATAACTCACAAAATCACGATCATTAAATTAAAATATAATTAAATTAAAAAACACTACTTAAAATACAAATAAGCACATACATTAAATTAATAAAAATTAGATTACAATCCTAATTACTTTAAACTAAATCATTGCTAATAACAATTTTCCAATAATACCACATTAATTTATTTACTCCTTACATTTAGAACAATGCATAAAAATAATATCCTCAAATGATTAAAAATACTAACTTAACTAATCTTCTTCAGAATCTCCATTACGTGGCTGCAGTACTACTGCTAATTTCTAAATCCTAAATCCAGTAGTCAACTGGAAGTTTATTCACCAAGTAATAAGAAATTAATAAAATTTCACCTGTACTCAAACTACTTTCAGCAAACCACGTACCCTTCCTTACACTCCTTTTCACAAAATGTCCATTTTCACCATATTTCTTGCACCGCCATTCAAACTTAACTGTAATATCCTTCCTTTCACACAATCTCAACTTATTATTATTATCAGATAAAACGCATTAAAAAATTTAGAATTAACTTTACACAGCGCCATGCAATCCGAAAATTAATCAACACTATTTCACACAACGAAGCTTTTCCAAATTAACCCCCTTTTCCGATTAAGGAACACTCTAATTCGTCACATTACATGTCACAATGAACACTAACATAGAAATATAGCTATAAAGATACTGCAGATATTTTTTCCAAGATTTTCCCCCTTTTCCGATTAAACAACTGTAATTTGTCCATAAATGTCACATGATATATCTCATGATCTCTCATTTCTCACACCCAAAATAATGCGTAATTCGGAACTGGAGTGCTTCTCACATTATTGCCAAAGTCCTAGGTAGTAACCTTTATCGCCTCCAAAATGTCGCCAAACTACCAGTTACCATATTCCAAAGATCAGCCAAATTTGCAATTAATTTCAATGAGTTTTGCCTCAACCTTACCAATTAACTTGCTTTCTGTAATAAATCGATTATTAAGAAATTTGTTGGTTAACTAGTCGCTTTTCATAGGAATCGTAAACATTTCACATCCACTCTAAAAGTTTTGGTACTTTTCCATTTCGCTGGCGCAAATCTCGACAAGGAGACTTTATTGGCGACAACACATTGTATACACATAAAAAATGTTAACAAATGTTAGTTCTAAGAATATTTTTATTTTAGAGGCTTAAATATTTTAATATCGGTTAAAATTTTTTCCAATGGGTCTTTTGTGTCCTTTCGCCACATAAATTCGGCGAGGTAACTTTCCAGATGGTGACGTGCTGTTCCTCTGTGTTTCTTATTCCGCCATTTGGCGCTACCCCATAGTCTTTCTTTTTGTGTGTGAGTGGGTTCCAGTTTTTGGATCTACAAAATTGTATTTATGGTTCACTTTGTAATGTTCGAAACTTTCATCTTCCAATTTTTCAATGCAATATGATTTCTATGAATCTGAATATATCGTAATTCCTTTTTCGATATTTTCCTTTATTGCCTCAAATATAATAGTCAAGGATCAGTTTGGCACCTTCATAAGGAAACATTCATTTGTGTCACGACAAACTCCACCAAAGATCCACCATTGTGGTAAAATCCATCCCGCATTGTTTTTGCGCTTTGTGAACATACTTTCATCCATTTCAATGATCATACCAGGTCCTCCTATTTTGCGTTGTTGATGTTTAAGTAAAGAATCCACACAAATCTCTCGCATGTAGTTATTCCAATCCACAACTGTTTCGTGACTGATTTCTAACTCCTTTTCACGCCATTTAACTAATGTTAATTCTTCACTCCAACCATAAATAAATCTTATACACTTCAAAAAACTTAATCTCGATGATTCAAACCACGTGCCTTTCCGTATATACTTCTTTTACTGCGGCAAGTTGAAAGGTTGCAGCGCCATTGAATTTCGTCCTCGAAATATAATTTCCCATGATTATTATCGCAAATAGCAATGTTAGGCAAAACGGCTTTCGCTTGAAAGAATTTGACAGGTTCTTCTTCTGTCCTGGGCAAAACCCAAATTTTCATTGGTTTCTCATCCATTTTTGACATATTTGTAAAAAGTCGTTAATTTAAGAATTTACTATGCTTTCATGGTATAACATCTTGATTCGCCGGATCATATCATGTGATCCCAAATGATCTCATCTCACGTAAACTACGCTACAGAAATCTGATTCTCTCAGTAATTATCTGCATTAATTTCAAGTTAAATCTTAGTATGGAATATGAGTTTAAATGCAAGAATTATTTCAATATTATAATTAAAAATATTCTATGTAACTGTATGCCAATATTGAAAGAAACTCAATCTGATAAGAAATAGCAGCGACTTGTTTTGAAAATGTGGCATGAAAGGTTATCAGCGAGGATATTCAGTTTGGCATCAGTTATACCATTTTCGGCGACTTTATCGCTTGTGCCAGCGAAATGGAAAATTGCGCCGACCAAACGGAAAAGTATCAAAGTTTTTTATTGATCAATTTTAACTGACATTCATGTTTTCACTTTTATACTATCTTTAAAATTTTTAGATTTTACTTTATGAACCCTGGAGTGAAAGATGTGATAGATTTTGTTACTTTTACCAAATTTTTTCTTAATTTCTGTTACTAAATTTTTATTCTCAGGATAGATACATCTGCAAATGCTTTAATTTTAAAATGGTTGATTAAAAATGTACATTAACTTTTAGTAATTTCTTAATTTCTAGATCGATCATATTTGCGACTTACTGAGCAGGGCTTTGATTATTTACCAATTGATGTAAGTAATGCCTTTGTTTCTGAATTTGAATACTTTTAAGTTTTGTTATGTTAATTATGTAGAATCACTTATTGAAGCAAAAGTTAGAAGACAGCACTTTCAATGTAACATTCACCCTCTTAATTGAAACATAGAATTGACCTTCCAAAACCCCCTCTTGCATAACTTGTCAAGCTCTGCAAGTGGATAATAGATAATGCTTGTGATGACATCAACTGCTTTTTCTTTCTTACAGCTATGAAATAAATATGTGAAAAAATAATAATTAAAATTTAGAAAACATTTAAATTATTTTTTCACATATTACATTTACATTACCTCTAAAGAGGTAAGGAATTTTGATCTTAACATTATTTGCTTATTGTTTGTTAGCTGCATTTAAATGATAACCAAATGTACTGCACATCTCCTCGATATTTGATTGTGAGACTGAGTGCATGTTTACTTCATCTGAATGCATACACCAAGATACACTATTAAAAATAAAAACAGAAGATCTACTCTGTGGTAAATAGGAATCGATGAAGTGAAGCCTGCTTTTTGAAAAGCAAAACAAATTTAATGTAGTTTGTGTACAGCATACTTGAAAAGCAGAAGCAAAAATGTGCTAGAAGCTGTAAAAATAAGTATTCAGTGCAAAATTAAATAATAATTATTGGCTATGGAAATGCAAACCAGATATGATTTTGAAAAGGAACGATTGTGAGATTAAAACTCCAAAACTCAAACTTGGTCGGTTGGTTCAAGAGGTGCATGCCGTTGCCGTATGACCAATAATATAATCATGTACATGGACTGATATAAGTATAGATATAAGTAAGATGGAGCAAACAAAAGAGTTGCTAATGCTACTCGGATGAAATTGGAGGGATATTTATACTGAATAAATGACAAAAATAATAAAATGGAAATGAAACTTGACAGAGGTTTTATACATTCATGAACTTGGAGGGGGTTGTAAAATACACAATAAGAATTATCTTCGCAATAGCAATTCAGTAGAACATGCATGTAAATCATTTTGAAGTCAAAGCAGCTTTTCTGTATGGAAACCTGAAAGAAGAAGCATGTATGACGAAATTAGAAGGTTATGCTTTACAGGGAAAGCAAACAGAGTCTGTGGATTTTAACAAAAGTATGCATGGACTAAAACAAGCAGCCATAAACTGGAATCACAAAGTACCTGAAATTCTATGGAAATGAGGATATATCCAAGGAAAGGCTGATTCACGCTCCTTCACATTAAGCAAGGAATATATAAGAATTTTTATAATTGTATATGTTGATGATGTATTATTCATGAGACTGGGATGAGTCAATTCAGGAATTTGAATGAATTCTCGAAGAATATTTTGACATTCAACATCTTGGAGAAGTGTCTACAAATTTAATAATGAAAAGAGAAAATGATAGAAGCTTTAAACTTCATGAAGCTAACAAGATTGAGAGTATAATTGAGAAATTTGGCAACAAATCAAATTAGAAACTAAGATATGCACCCATGAGTACAGATTTTATGAAGTACAAACAAGAGAACTTTTTCCCCAATAAAAAATAAAGGGAAGCTTTGGGAGCACTTTTATATTTAGACCCACCTTAGCAAATTCTGTTAGTATATTTAGCAGGAAAGTGGAAAATCATCAACGTTGGACTGAGATGGTATAATTTAATCACTATTTAAAAGCTACAATCAGTTAAATTATGTTTAAAATCAAATGGTAAGCCAGTTGCAAAAGCATACAGCGATGCTGTTTGGGCTGGAGACAACTAATGGAAGATTTTAGTTTCATTTAACAAAAAATTTAACGTAACATTATATTTAAGGATATCTCTTGTGTAAATCTTTTCAGAAAAGAAAAAAGGAGTTACATTAAACACATCAATGTAGAATATGACTATGTGTGTGATTTTACAAAAGCAAGGGATTTTTAAATTACAACATTGAAACAGCAAAGTGGTATATGTAGAGATGTTCATGAAACTTTGGCCTACTTTACAGCTGAAACTTTTATTAAAAAGAATTGATTTGTTCCGGATGGCATAGTTGCCTTATCAGAATGAAAAAGTTCAGGAACGTGCACGAACTCGGTTAATACACAATAATTTAATATGTTATTTATAATGTAGATTTTTTGTGACAACAGTGATGTTTTGTTATACAGTCAAAAGTCGTTAATTCGGACACCCATAATCCGGAATGATTTATAATCCGGACCTCAAAGCTACAAACTTTCTGTGCATGCGTCGCATTCACGCATGCGCACATGCGTTTACGAGAGCGCGTAAGACCTTTACGGCTGCTAATATGTTTGTGTGCGCATGCGCATTTAATGTATAACGGACGGTATAAGCTAAGCTAAAATTATCTAATTCAGTTAATGTTGCAGATTGCGTTGTTCCTTAATCTTCGAATTGGATCCGGCTTATTATTTTTTGCAGACTGTTAGAGCAATTTTATAAAAGTAAGCTTGAACTTTCGATTATGTCAAATAGAATTTCCGATATATATTTACTAATATGTAAAGGATCTACAAAGCGAAAGTATGTTTTGAAATCCGAAATCTGTTTATCAATTTCATGCGCGAGGATTGAAGTTGATCTGTCAGCACTATCCTTATCTTCACGGCAGATGTTTTTATTTTATTTGGCTTATAATTCCTTACTAAATGTAGTATTTCATCTCGATGTACTCCGTCTTTGATATAATTTAAATCAAGTTCCTCGTGATTATAATTCGCTTCCGATAGTGAAGAAAGTGACCCAGAGGTTATTGAAAACAAAAAAATTTCGATTGACAAGTTAGTCGGTATTCTCGACACAGCAATTACAGGACTTGAACAGCGGAACTTTGTAACTGAACAAGAAATTATGTCTGTTTAATAGAATTAAAGAGAAAGTATTATCACATGAAAACGAAGCAACTTACATTGAAAGAAATGTTTAATAAAGTAAACAAATAAATATTAAGCTTTTTTTTTGTAAAATTTTGATACCCTTTAGATCATAATTGTTCTTTATTTCATAAATTACGGTTTCATATTTTTAATTTTGTAATTTCTGCATGCCATCTTACCAGATTTAAACTGATGATCTATAATCCGGAATCGCCGAAGTCCCGACGAGTCCGGATTAACGACTTTTGACTGTATATTACATGAGCGGATACCTGGAGTTATTTTTTGGATATGTTAGATGCAAATAAAATAGTCGTTGTATTAAAAGGTTTCTCTGTAAATTTTTCATTCTCCGAAGTTATAAAAATCAAAAATATAATTTCAAAAACTGGCGTCCGGTGACAGGACGATGGCTATTTGAAGAAAACGAAACATCGATTTCATATCGGAATTTATCAAGTGAGTTTATGATTTATTTGATTATATCCTTTATTATCTGATTATATTGGACATATTGAATTTAAAATCATGGAAATTTTATTAAGAAAGAGTAAGCCACTAAGGCAATCGTTTACGATTACTGCCAGTGCTTTAGATGCTGAAATTCTGAAGCCTGACGTGGAGGTTAATCAACTCCAAGTATTGAGCTCACAGTTGGAAGAAAAATTTAAGAGATTAGATGAAGTTCAATCACAATTTTCTGAACTTTTGTTGAAAAGTGAAAGCGAAAGTGAATATTTAGCTGATTTTGACACGAATGAAACATATCGTGATAAATATATCAGTTTAAAAACAAAAGTAGAAAACAAAATGGTGAATTCCACTCCTGGAATACACCTGGAATTTTAGAAAATTCCACGAAAAGGAACTTTAAATTACCAAAGTTGGAGCTTCAAAAATTCAATGGGGAGACCCGAAATTGGTTAGGATTTTGGGAACAGTTTAAGAAGATAGACGAAGATGTAAATATAGATGACGATGATAAATTTCAGTACCTATTGCAGGCAACAGTCGTTGGATCTCCAGCGAGAGAGCTCATAGATAGTTATCCGCCCTCAGGCGCGAATTATAAAGAAGCTATCAAGCAGCTAAAATCTAGATTTGCACGCAACAAATTACTTGTAGAAATGTATGTTCGTGAATTATTAAAGTTGGTTTTGGCTCAAGTTAGCAAAAAAGGAAATATGATTCTATCCAACGTATATGATAAGTTAGAGACGCAACTCAGAGCTTTGGAGACGTTAGGAGTAAAAAGTGAGATTTATGCAGCTATGCTGAATCCCCTTGTAGAGTCTTCACTACCTGAAGAAATTCTGAGGGCATGGGAGCCATCTCGCCAGCGTAGGGAAAGTGTTGCACACTCTGAAAATTTGGAAAATTTATTGCATTCTCTCCGAATTGAAGTTGAAAAAGAAGAGCGTCTTCAGTTGGCCCATACAAGTTTTTCTGTTCCAGACAAATTTGACTCAGTTCCAACTACAGCAGCTTGTATTTATGCAAGAGATTCAAAAAAGAAACAGCTTAATTTTTGTGTTTGATGTGACAAGGAAACACATCATTCTTATAAGTGCTTTAAGCTGCACAGCCTTTCATTTGGAAGATAAGAAAAATTTACTAAGAAAGAAAAAAAGCTTGTTTTAACTGCCTAAAAATTGGGCATGCTGTCGAAAAGTGTAAAAGTTCTGTGAAATGCCTAGTTTGCTACAAACGTCATGTAACGGTGATGTGCAGAGAACTAAAAGGTTCTAGAAGTTCAAAAAAGGAAGCAGCTAACGAAACGAGTGAGACTTTGTTGTCTAACCAAAAACTGCAAACAACTTTTCTCCAAACTATTATGGTGAAGATTGTCCATAATGGAAAAAAGAACTTGTGAGAACGCTTTTTGACAGTGGTTCACAAAGATCTTACTTACGGAAAGACATAATAAAGAGACTAGATTTTAGTCCCATTAAATCAAGAGACTTTGAGCCACAATTTGTTTGGTGGAGTTGAAACTGAATCTCAGGTCCATGGTATTTTTGATATCAAAATACAAGGAACGGAAAATAAATTCAAATACTAATTATCGGTTTTAGATAAAGACAAAATTTGTGGATGCATTTCTAG